CGTTGGAGATCCTGCAGGACTTCTCGTTCCTTGTTATGTACCGCAAGGGTTCTCTCCATATGAACGCCGATGCTCTGTCGCGATTACCAACAACCGGAGGTTGTGCATGTTTTTCGGGTTCCGGGTGATGTAAACTGACTGATATAACCTCTCGCAGCATCTGCCGATGCAGTGACAGGTGGGACGGGCGCCGATCCGGGCGCACGGGATGTGGTCCTTGGTCTGGATTACGTGGAATGGGGACGCCTTCAGGCGGAAGACGCTTCGCGACTCAAATTGCGGCATCGTGTGAGGGAAGCTGATGGGGGCGATGATCGACAGGGCGTCACCTCGGTGGTTCTGCGGGACGGCTTACTCATGCATTGGGACAGGGGGCTGCGCCGTTATACCATAGTTGTCCCCACTGCCCTGCGAGGCGAGGTTGTTTGGGCGGTGCATGAGCGTCTCTTGCACCTGGACGTCCAGAAGACGCTGGCCACGCTCAAACAGGATTTCTATTAGCCGGCCATGTCCGCGGATGTGGACGATTTGCTCAAAGGGTGTGTGCAGTGCGCTCGGCGGAAGCCACCGTCGAAACTCTGCCGACCCCCCTTGCAATAGATTCAGGTATCGCGCATCAACAAACTTGTTGCTCTGGACATACTTGGCCCGATTCCCACTACCGCTCGAGGGAACAAATACCTGCTTGTGGGGGTTGAGTATTTTTCTCGATGGCCTGTTGCTTGGCCGCTCCCTAACCAATCGCCTGTGACTATTACGGAGGCATTCCTCCATGGTTATGTTATGGACAAAGGCGCTCCTGAATGCCTTTTGACCGATCAGGGCAATAATTTTCCTTCTAAATTGTTGCACGAGGTCTGCGCTTTGTTGGGAACAAATAAGGTGCACACGTCACCGTACCACGCGCAGACGGATGGCATGGTCGAACGGCTACATAGGACTCTGACCTCCATGTTGAGCCACCAGGTCAATGAGTCACAACTCGATTGGGATATACATATCCTTCCGGTCCTCAGCGCTTACATGATGGCCCTGCATGCGTCCACTGGCTACTCACTGTTTTTTTAATGTATGGAAGGGAATACGAACCCCCCATCGATGTAGTTACAGGCCATGCCGACAAAGTATAAATCCAAGATTTGTTGTTTCCCTTCTACGTGACTTTACCGAAAGAACCAAGAATATATATTTCTGACTCCGTTCGTTTCACTCTTCAGAAGCTTTCCGAGGCACGGGAAGCCTCCAGGGTTAATTCTGAGTCGCGACAATTGGCCAACGAACGGCTTAAGGGAGTGCGTGCTTCTCTGTATGAATAAACACCTGGGGACAAGGCCTGGTTGCAATGTTCGCAGGTGCCGGTAGGTACATCGCCTAAGTTACTCCAACCCTGGCGGGGGCTAGTCGATGTTGTTCAGGTTGTTCGACCACAGTGTGTCCAGATCAACTTGGGTCGGCAGAATTGGTTCGTGCATCCCTCTCGTCTGAAACCATTTATCGCGACGGCGAATTCATTTTATCTCCACATCACAGGGGCCAAGTGTCAAATGTGTCCGACGAGCCGAGGTGTATGCCCGCTGAGGTTGGTCCTCAGCAGAGCGATTCTGTTCCGCCCCCAGGTGCTGCACAACTGATGTTCCTGCACGGCCGCGGATGCTGGCTTCACAGGCTTCGAGCACGGAGGATCCGTCAACCCGGCCTACTGCTCTCCGTGAGGAGCCGGCTTCGGCGGAACATTGGCACATTCCCCCCGGGACCTCCAGGGTGAGCGAGCCCACCTCCCCTGGGGGACCGGCATCAAGCACTCGCTCAGACTCGTTTTTCGTGATCCCCTTGCACACACTCTCCCACGCTGTCAGGTGCTTGTCACGCTCACTGAGGCATGGCAATTATTGGCTGATCCTGGCCGCCACTGAGCTCACGAGCGTTGTTACACGGTGAAGGTGGGAGGTGCGATGGTAGGGGGGGGGGGAGATCCCGAGGGTTTGCGCGTTTTTTACATGCTTTTTGTTAACACAGTCTATTGTTGTATCCTCAAATCTTGTAACTTAATTTTTACCCACTTCCCAATGTGGTATCGACTGCAAACTTGGTATACTTATGTCATACTGATGACAATACTTTATTCTATCATTAAAATAAAATATATATTTTTAAACATAATTTTACACATGTTATGTTTCGGCTTGGGTCGAATTGTCGACGCACAACTGACGTTGCCTGCAAATCACCACGGTCTCTTACGTTATGGCAAGCTTCCAGTACGATACATTTAATTAAAGCGTGTTTAAAAAAGTTTTTTTAATATTACTTATTTATATATTGCTTGTTGATGTGGTGTTAGTATGGGTTCGGAGGTTTACACCCTTCTCCCTGTTGGTTTGTACATTTGTGGATAGTGTAATTTTTGTACAGGCGGGTTAGGGTACTTATTTGTTATTGAGGCACACTGTTTTTATTGCATTTCAATAATTCGTCCGTTTGGAGGGGGAGTTGACAGCTGGGACGGATGAATGCTACCAAGGGGGGAGGGGGGTGATGTAGTAACATTTTTCTCTCCGCCTGATGAAGGCCGCTTGTGTTACGATCGAAACGTCGTGGGTTTTTTGTTTATTTTCGATCTACGTGACGTTACCGAAAGAACCAAGAATATATGGGTTTCTTTTTAATTTGTGTGCATGCGTATACATGTGCCGGGAAACAGTGGTGCCGAGTTATGAACCTGGCCACCTGGGTTCAAGTTCCGGCTATGACTCACGTAAGTGGCGCTTGATTTCCAAACCGTTGTTGGTGCCATCCTAAAATCAACCACGCCTTGAGAAGCTGATGCCGTGTGTCAACCTTAGCACTGGGGAAATGTTGGCCATACCACCCCTCGTGTACAATACTGGCCTTAATTAGGTGCCTGCTAAAAGCATTTGCCCCACATCTGTTAAAGTCAGAGGAATCTGAATCTTTGTATGTTTAGTGTTAGGTTTAGATATATATTGTATTTGTGCTTGCATATGAGAGTTTATGCATGTGCTGGTTAAAAAATATATAATTATACCCACAAAGTCAAGGGAACCTTGCAAGGAGGACCTTGGTTGCTGGACTGTTAGAAAACATGTATCCAAAAAACCAGCATGGCACCAATTATATCCAAATTAGTGCGAAATTCAGTCAAGTCACAAGGCAGAGCCGTCCCTCCAGATCTCCCCCGGGAAAGCAAGGCCTTGCATGATCACAAGTCACACTTCCCAGGGCTTTTCAGTTCGGCGACCCCACATAGGCGGTCAACACGTTTTGCGATGGTATTTGACCATATACTCTAGGTTTTTTTTAACCATATTTCACCATGCTGGTCAGTCTGGGTTGTTGAAGGCAAGGAGCAGATATGGGAGCACACTACAGTAGTGTACAATGGATTGTTCTGCACTGCCCTCGCAGCAGCTTACAACACCTGTAATGTGCATGGCGGGGCGGGGGGGGGTTGCACATCCAAGCACTATCCAGTCTCAAAACTCCTAGCTTCCGAGATCTGATATTCCGGCCGATTGGCCACTTGAGATCGTGAAGAAAATGATCGACGCTTGTACCTGGCGAAAGAGCCCTAAAAAAGCAGCACACATGGCCGGCCAGGTCTAAAAACAATTAATCGTTTTATTTTTTGTATTTTATTCAAACCTCATCCATTCCATTTTCATTTTGAACATGACAAAAAAAAACCTCGCTCTCGAGCACTCACTCGCACCGTAAAAAGAAAACATTTACAACATATTTTAAAATTAGCAAAGCGGCGCCTTTGTACTTGGAAGCGAAACGCAGACTTCCTGTCCGTAGGGTCAGTTGAGTGTCCCTCAGCGACGCGCGTCGCTTACTCAAATCGACGCCGGTAACCTGCGTCAAAAAAAAAACACTTGAGGGACTGCGTTGGCAGTGGTGTGCCCACACAGATATCGTTACACACTTGCAATGCCATGTGGCATTTTATAAGTTTCTCCTATTATTAATTACATTTTGCAGTTTTGGATTCGTGCATTACCCTAACTCAAAACGCCATTTTAATTTTTTACTAGTTTTCCCATTCAAGGGTCTCCTAAACTTGTTGTTTTGCCATTAAAGTGTTTGGCACACCATCTGTTCATATAAACCCTTTCTTAAATAGTCTCCACATTAAAATAACTACATTCCCAATGTCCGAATGTTTACAAGGCACCACACTGCAGAATATACGAGGGTCATTTACAGTGAACCTGCTCTCTGTTTTAAATAAATTGTGACAAATCGCTTCTCAATTCGATGGAGCTGGTCGTGGCAGTATCTGGCAACTCCTGTGTGAAGCTACATCATATGGCTGCGCAAATCAGTCTTGGCATTTCCGTACGGTGGCAAACGGTGCGTTATGTACTGCATGACGGTGTTAAGTTCATCGTGAAAGAATATGCCAAACCAGCTGAAATTAAAGTTTGGTAATACGCGTCTCTGACACAGTAGTATAGTTCAGTGTTTCAGGGGCGAGTCTAAAAACTGATGAGGATGTGAAATAATGTCCTGACTTTGCTGCATAATTGCCTGAAAGAAATATACGCTTTTATCATGAAGGCATGACAACAATGGGAGCAAATCATGTGTAAGAGTGGAATACCTAGAAAAATCAGGCAAGTTTGATTTGGTTTTTAAAAACTACAGTGCAGGTTAACCATTAACAACCTTTGCATGCTCCAACTCTAAGCCACAACGGTCAGGCTTGCTCCCTCTTTTCTCGGAGCGTAATTGGTCAAAATTGTCTGTGTTGGCTCGTTTTACTTTCAAGGCAATAATAATTACAAATGTAGTGACGAGACGTCCGTTTGATAACTCGCTGTTGTAACCAAGCAGCCATGTTTACACGGGGCAGTTCCCCTATAAGGGATGATGATATCAAACTATGACATGCTATTCATGATGCCAGCGTAAGCAAAATGGACGATCACCGCCCAGCACAGCGGCATCCTCGCAACAGACATCGCGATGTTTTAACAAAAACTTCAAGTCAATATTGTCTATGGACGAAACGTTTCGCTCGCAAACTAATATTACACACATCCTGTTATGACAACAATCCGCAAATGGTTGCACAAAACCCCCAAGCAGAAACTATTTCCATCTTGTTTGTCTTTGAAAGCTGTATTAAGAGAAGCAAAAAAAAAACACCTAATTTGTTTTGTGCAAGTGAACGCCGATGTATACATGTAAAGACGCCACCTCGCGCGCATCCTCTTTACTGGCATTGGCGAGATATTAAATATAAAACAAATTTATTAAAAAAAATACCATAAGCAATCATCTATTTGCACGTTAACAAAAATAAACATCATAACACCGTCTTTACAAAAATGAAATCACAATCGCACCTCACTTGTAAAACCGTTATCTGCAGAGATGGCCCTCGGATAAAGGTGGATTGGGTTACAGAGCTAAGTTACCCCGAGTAAGGGCTCCCATTGCCAAGGCTAGCCTGGGTTACCAAGGTTATCTTGGGTAAATTAGCTCTTGCTAACGGAGGTTAGTGCAGGTTAATGAAAGCCCGCAAATGTTCTGGCATAACAAGTTCTTGTTGACAAGGCTGACGTGTCAGTTACTTCATCCCACGTTAACAAGATGAGGTTCAGTTCAGTTTGAAGGTGTTAATCTCGAGTTAATGAGCTTTTATTCACAAAGTTAACATGTTTATCCCAGGTTATGAATCTCTGTAATTGAGATTATTAAACGCCGGTAGACAACGTAACACCACTGAACCCCACATTTTGAATGTCCCCGTTTTAAAGTGCCTAAAGACCCAGACGCATTTTTTTACAAACGAGATGCACTAGCACACAAACCATCACCACAATTACTCTATGACTAACGTTAGTCACCATAGCAACAAGCAGTTAGTTAGCGAAATGGCTTATTCTTATTTTTAATCTCCTTAATTAATTTGACATGAGACCGCATACCACGCGCGCGCGTGTGCGTGTGTGGGGGGTGGGGGTTGATTCATGGGGAGCGGTAGTGTAGTGGTTAGTGCGCCGCTGCAACATCAGTGACGAGTATCTGAACCGGTCATGGGCCTCTCGTAGGTCAACTCGGCCTCAAATGAGTACCTGGTGTGGTGTGTAAACATCACCACCGGGGAGACAAAGGTGGCCGGGCGTGGTGTTGGCCAAGCACCCCCTCACGTGCCATGCCAGCCTGAATAGGCGATCGCAAACATAACTTTCCCCACCAGTCTGTTCAGGCTATACACGGCATGTTTGTGGGAGGGTTCACATACATGAACGCTGCATATGGTTGTTTGCAAGTGTACGTTCTTGAACGTGTATATGTGTACGTATGTATGTAAGCGTATGTGTACATGCACGTGCGTACATTCACACGTATGTGTCTGTATGCACGATGTGAATTTTTGCTTGAATGTGACATACAAGATCAACTTTATATACAATTTGCATGCACACAGGTACACACCTGTGTGTATATACAGGCGGTCAGATACACAGGTGTAAACAAATCCATTGTGTTAATACGCATGTACACTGTGTGCTTGTAGGTAAGTGTACACACCCATGAACCCACCCACACGCATATACAGGCACAGGCGTACATGGTAGTTGTACGGATGTACACGCACGCGTATGGTACACACGTGCAAGATTGCGCACCTGGCATGCACTAATGTACATGTGAAGTGCACACATGCATACCTGCAGGTACATGATCGCAAGCTTACAACTCGATGGTGTGCATAACCACGCTGTGCGTGTACACATGGCCGTGTGTATACACACAAACACGTACATACCCACAGGCATGTACATGCGCGCGAGCGTGTGTGTGCATGCACGTGCATACGCCCGCAAGCACATGCGCGCACACACTCGCTCGTTTACAAGCTCACAACTCGGTGGTGGGCACATGCCTCGCCGTGCGTTCGTGTGGCCGGTCGTAATCCGGATAGCCGTACGCTTCCTGCTCGTAGTCACGGTCCGGGTTACTGTACAGCTGCTCGCCATAGTGTTGGTGCTGCTGGTTGTCGTAGTTGTGCTGGTTGTTGAAGTCGGGTGGGTCGCTGTAGTCGTGCTGGTTGCCGTAGTCGTGCTGGTCATCATAGTCCTGGCTATAGTCATGGGGGTCGAAGCCGCGTGGGTCATAGACGACATCAGCGTCCAACGGGTCTGCGTAGTCTTGGAATTGAGGAGGAGGGTAGCGTGCAATGTCAGGCAGGCGGCCTGTAGCAGGAGAGAGGGAGGGGAAGTGGGGAGAGCAGTGTGTATAAATGGTGTGTCGGGTGTGGGTTTTGGGATTGGTGGAGAGCATATTGTAGTGTGCGTGTAGATTGTGCAGTGTGGGGTTACGGATGTGGTGTAGATTGTACGCATCGAGTAGGTGTAAGTGTGGGGTGTAGTGTGTAGGATGTATATGCAGTATGGGGTGTAGGTGAAAGAGGCACGTGATGAGCGGCGTCACTCGCAAACGTAATCTCACACCCCAAGGGAATGGACGCAAGAGCTGGACTTTATAGCCCTCCATTAAATTTGATAGAGCTGTAGTAGTAAAAGTGATCAACATTTGCTATCAGAGACCTATTAGATATGGAAAAGATAATTTAGAGCACATTAATAGATGCTTCAGAGACCTGTTAAAAAACCCACCACATCATTCACCCAGGAAAGCATTAATGAGTCTCAAAACACTTGTTGAAAGGTTCTGTATACAGATGTTTGGCCAAATGCATTCATGTATAGTTTGTTACATATTCTGTCACTATGAACTAACGCCAAATTCAACCTCAATTCCTAGGTTATGGTCCCCCAACCTCTTGTGACATTACAGACTCTGTAAACTTTGTTTCAGTCAATGGCACATGTTTGGTAATAATTACACTTATAGGTTATACCCATGTGTCAGTCAACTGCTGGATTAAAGCTGCCAGTCTGACCATATTAAATCAGCCTGGTCAGTGCTAAACGGTGAATTTGGGGCAGGTGGGGAGGGCATGACCGGTTCAGACACTCGCCACTGAGCATAGCCAATGCTGGGATTTAACTGTGGTTGTAGGATTCGTGCGATTATAATTATAATTCAGCATCAGGCATGATCTATCCAATGCAGGGTAAAAGCCTCCCCAATTTCTCACATTTTCTCGTGATCCAACAATCTATATAGCTCCTAAACATGGGCCGATTTCATTGCCCACAGTGGATGTGCTGTCGGGCGAGTTTCCTGCCTTTGGCTGCTACTCCACTATTATTCAAGATCATTGGCCATCATCCCTTCTAGCAACAGGTCTTGCAAAAGACCAATTTGCTTTTTAAACAACCAATGCAATTTATCGAACTCGGGCACGTTTTCCAATTCATGCATTGCTTTTCCTATCTCTCGGCAGTGTATGAGGATACCTCGTGAGTGGTTGGGAGAGGGTGTCGGTCGCCCGAGTGGTAATAATTCTATATATAACGATGAATATTAATTAGCAGGCATCTGCGTAGAGACTCGAAAACCTCCAGTACCGAGAGCGGACGCACGGCCCACGCCGCAGCCAAATATAACCCCCAAGTGGCGAGTGACACCAATTAATGATTAATTATCACGTGGAGCTGCACTGCCGGAGGCGAGATCCCCTAACGAACCACCCGATGATGAGATAAAACATAACAAATTGAGGATTTTTTTTAAGGCAGGGGAGGGAGGAGGAAAAGTGGTGTAGTGCAATTGAACATTTCGCCGTCATTGGCGAGTAACGTCTCTTTATTTATTGTTGTCTTTTCCTCCAACTTTAATCTGATCAGGAGATGAAGAAACCATTGGAAGTCTTTTCTTGGCTCCTCCCCCCCCCCCCCACTTAACCTGTATATAATCTCGGGTATCTTAGAGCTCTCTTGACTTGATACAGCAATTTTGCTGTGACGGTTTCCACCTGAAGACGGAAGCTTGTGTTGCCTCCGAAACGTCGTGATTTAATTTAGTTGTTTTTTCATTTATTTTATAGATTTTTTTTACCTCCGTGACTTTACCGAAAAAAAAAAACACAAGAGTACATTGGAAGTCTCACAGAACAATGCAACCCTTCACGTTTGTGTTCGAGTAGAGGCTCATAGAAGTGGATATCAGAGCTCTCTCTGAAATACCTTCAAGTGACCTATGTTCCACGCAGTAGGCGGCAGCAGTTTCCTACCCTGCCACAGTGTAATGTTCTTCACGTAATGGCCAAATTGGTGGTTTTCATTTCGGAGAGAGCTGGAAGTTAGCCAAATTAAGTGCAGAATCTCATTTAATAGTATTTTTGTGCATTCATTCAAGAAGTCAAGTGTTGTTGTTAGCAACCAATGCTACCTCATTACAAACCTGGTTTCACAATTAACGAGCAAAGTGTATTTCATCATTAATTAGTACATTTCCTCCATTAGTCTGTCCTCTCAATGGCCAACATTCGGGTGTCATTAACAAACTCCAACCCCTCGTTAAAAGACCCACAGGACCCACCTCACCTCGTCAGGTTCATGGGGGTCACTGGTTGAGGGTCAAAGGTGTGGAGGTTACGCTTCAGAAAAGGTCACATTTTAAACCTGTTACAGGTGAGCGAGGTCGAAAATCGTAGGGTTATTTCAGAGAGTAACAGTTCCAACAGGTGAAGAAATCACACACAGAAAAGGTGAAAGGATGATTAAACATCAGAGGTTAACGGGTAAAGGTCAGCTCAGACGGGGGACAGGTTAGGAGGTGATTACCGCCAGTCTCGGGGTCGTCGCGTCCACCAACGCTGCCCTCGGGGGTGCTGCGGTCGTGGGTACGGTTCAGACGATGCGTTGTGGGTAAAGGGGGGTGGCCGCTCATGTGATGCTCATAGCCGTCATCATATCGGTCTGGTCCCCCGTGCTGCGCACAAATAAAATTCCTTCGTAAATTTCCTACATACATGTTACACACAAAGCACCGTAACACACGCAACACAATTTACATCATGACACAAGGCGCGTAAAGCAGCCTATGAAACACACAGCAAACAAAACCATAAACATACATGACAACGGAATGTACGCCACAAACTCTACGTACACATCACATACAGCACATGCAGCATACATAAGAGCATAAAGGACACACACGAGTATACAAGAGCACGCAAACAATTGAGATTTTACACAACAGAGCAAGAAAGGCATATATAATACACAGTATACAAACAATCACCAGAAACATCCTGTATAATGCGACAACCATGATGAAAAACAAACATCCACTGTACAGCCCTTAACAGACCGTTGGGACAAATGCTGTTGGACTCGGATAGATTTATTAATATGCTACTAACAACCGAATTGGCCTCTCACGTTTGTTATGTTCTTATGTTGGTAACCACTATGAAGGCTGGCAAAGCACACAAGAAAGGAGAGCAACCAGCACCACGCCTGGCCACCTGTCTCTCCAGTGCTGATGTTTACACACCACATCAACTGATCATTTAAAGAGGTCTCGATTTATAGGAGGCTCAGGATGGGTTCAGATATCACTCGCCACTGATGTGTTCCATGGTAGGGAATCAAACTCAGGTGGCAGGTTCCCAGCAGACTGTGCTTACCACTGGACCCCACGGCTCCATTATTAGACAGGGTGATCTTTTTACAGATATGTCACTAAAATAAGAGGAAGAAGTTAGGAGAAAACTAAATTAATTCCATGCTTCTTCAGATCTGAGGAATCTAAACACAAATATTAAATCGTTTAATGTCCCTGTGTAAGATAGGGAGGCACAATAATCAATAACCTATTGCGAAAGTAAAAGGATCTTTGGAAATTGGTGAGCTATCTATTAACAAATCACCCTGAATAATGCAACATACCCAACACGCCACAAGTGGTGTTAATGCCGGCGGTGCCGGTGCACTGTAGAAAACTCGTCACCGCACAGTGTGGTGGCCCCCATGTCCCCGCCGTCACCTGTCTGTGGTTGCTCCGAGGGCCGTCGTTGGCATAACTGCCTCTGCTAGCGCCACCACCACCACCACCACCACGGCCCCCAGATCCCATGACCCGGCCGACCGGCGCCTCCACGAAGGTGCTGAACGACGGAGCATCCGGCTTGAATGTTGACGCTGGCGGGGGGCTTGGATCCCCGTCTGGCCCTGCAATGAGAAGACAGCGTTAAGCGAGCGACCATCACGGAGCCGGCATGATCAGGCGGGCCAAGAGGCCATCGGTGTCTTTGATAGTTTTGTTGGTCGGTTGGTTCAGTATTTTGTTTGGTTGTTGGTTCGTGAATGGACCCAGACCTCTAATTGGAAGCCCTGGGTGCTAATTGGCACTGCGTTAGCTGGCCCGGCTGTTAATCGGGCTTGTTATTATTGGTGCCGTTTCCTACCGGGGCTGTGTCGCAGTGTTTGCCGTCTCAGCTCTCCCATAATTCTCTGCCCATACAAATTTGTTGTTGGTTGGTTAATTGGTTGCACATTTGCTTGGTTAGTTGGCTGGTAAGTAGGTAAGTGGCCGTTTGGTTTGCATTTTGGTTGTAATCACATCTCACTTACAGTGAGGGAAAAAAGTATTTGATCCCCTGCTGATTTTGTACGTTTGCCCACTGACAAAGAAATTATCAGTCTATAATTCTAATGTTAGGTTTATTTGAAGTGAGAGACAGAATAACAACAAAAAAACAGACAACTATGGGGAACAAATGGAGAAATATGGGCACACTTTGAGGGGCATGTGAAGAATACATGGAGACAGGACACATTTGGCAGACACAAGACGACACTCGGACACATGGTGAATGTGGACATAAGTAGGGAACACAAAATGAGCGCAGAAACCCATACGTGACAGAAAGACATGCAGTCAGACCTTGGTGAACATACACACGTTGAGACAGAAATAGGTGAGAGATGCACAGAGGGACACATTGGGGACACGAACAGGTGAGTGGGGGCAGGAGCGTCTCACCGGCGAGAAAGGCTGGGCGGTAGACGCTGGAGCCCCCACCGTGCGATGAGGAAGAGCTGAAGCGGAACCTCTTCATGAACGGCTGAGACTCGGGGCTCCCGGCCAGACGCTCACCCACAGAGCCTGAATACAAGGGAACAAGCGGACACACACACATACAGGTAAAGCTTTGGCTGGCATAAAAAATTAGAGCCGATCAAGCGAGCAGATGGACAAGGTAGCAGGTGAAAGAGCGAAGAGAGCAGGTGGTAAAATGAGTGAACGGATGAGTGAGCGGACAATAATGTGGGCTAAAAACAGGAAACTCGTAGTCATGCAAGCAGGTAAATACATGGAAGCAAAGCCACTGCTTGGATTCAGGTGTGCAGGTAGATGGGCGGGCATATTGCAAAAATGTTCAGTGAACAATAAAACAAAGGAATGCGAGAGTGGTAGGCACTAGAGTGATTTTAGCAATCGCATAAATGGGCGCCACAAGGAAGATAGTGAAGCGATGAAATAGCATAGGCGAGTGATCCTGCACGTTACCAAATGTGCTCATGCAAACCGGTTAAGCAGGCAAAAAATTGGACAAGAAAACAAAACAGTAAGACAAGCAAGCAAGTAGATGACTGGGGGAGTGAAAGAGCTAGCGAGCAAGCATCTCACCGCGTGACTGCATCTGGATCCCAGCAACGGCGCCCTTGTTCGTCCTCTGCTTCCTGCGCCCCTTTTTGCTGCCCGCGATGAGGAAATCGCCCGCCTGCTGTGACTGCAAGTGCTGCCCGGATGATGATGATGACGACGACGACATTATAATGCCTGCACCGCCACTGGGCGCGCCCTTCTTTCCGCCCCTCCCCCCACTCTGCCGTCGGCGGCGCCGGCAAAAGAAGGCAATAAGTCCGATGGTGACAGCGAGGAGGATAACGCCCACGGCCGCCACCAGTGCAACGATGGCCCACGTGGGCAGATCGGGCCCAGTGCGCCGGCCCAAATTCACCACATCCTCACTCAGCGGTCGCATCAGGCTCTCAGCCACGAGTTGCTCGATGAGCGTCACGTTCTCCACCGTTTCATTCACAAACACATGGAGCAGCACCGGCGCCGCTGCCTCCAGCAACCCGGAGACCGCCCGGACTCGTCGTGACCCACTACCTCCACGATCACGCACACGTACCACCAGCCGGTGCAGCCCCTCGTCCAAGCTGCTGACCGTGCGTGCCAGTGACAGGGCACCCGAGTCGGCGTTGAGCAGGAAGATACCTTTGGGGTTTCCTCCGATGATCTCGTACAGCGGTCGCCCATTGTCGCCAGCATCGATGTCGTTCGCTGTCACGCTAACCCCGACCAGCATTCCGGCCGGCGAGAAGGTGCGCACGTGTTTCCAAGTGTCGTTGGTATTGGGTGACGTGATCACCGGCGCATTGTCATTGGTGTCGCTGACTGTGATGCTCACACGGCATGACGCTGACAGGGCGGGGCGGCCCGAGTCGACAGCCCTCACGCTCAGTTCATACTGAACGCGATCCTCGCGGTCCAGTACCACGAGTGTGCGCACCACCCCACCCGGTGTCATCGAGAAGTACTGGTTACTCCAACCCGCATCGCCTGCGCCGCCAATCCAGTCAGGCCCAGCCTCCCGTACGAGGTTGAGGGCAACGCGGGCGTTGTCGCCCTCGTCCAGGTCGCTCGTTGAGACGGTGCCCACATACGTGCCTACCGAAGTCTCTTCCTCCACGAAGAACTGGTACATGCAGTTGGTGGAATTGGAGACGCCCACGAACGTGGGGGCATTGTCATTTTCGTCGAGCACGGTGACGCGCACGATGGCACGGGCCTTGCGCTGGGGCGAGCCCCCGTCGCACGCCTCCACCGACAGCTCGTAGCGCATGCGCTTCTCGCGGTCCAGCGGTGTCGCCAACGTCAGCTGTCCCGTGCGCATGTTCAGCGAGAACAGCTCTGCCACAGATTCCCCACCCGCCAACTCGCTTAGCGTGAATGTGATGGCCCCGTTCGGCCCGCTGTCAGCGTCTGTAGCCAAGAGGTTCAGCACAACAGTGCCAGCTGGGCCATTCTCGCGCAGCGACACCTCGTACACGGCCACATCGCCCTCGATCGATGCGGGGTTCATGAAGACCGGCGTATTGTCATTGATGTCCACCACGGAGATGATGAGGTTCAATAGTTTGGAGAGCTTGGGGGTACCCCTGTCTGCTGCCAACACACTCACATTGTACTGTTGCGCCTCCTCGTAGTCCAGCAGACGCGTCGTCTTCAGCAGGAACTGCACCTTGTTGGGGCTGGCGAGCTCTGCTCCTGCCGACGAAGTCGATCCAGCTCCACCGCCCCCGCCAGAGCCGCCCACACTGGTGAGCTCGAAGGCGGCGTTGGGACCAGTGGGAAACTCGAGGCGCACATCGACAGTGCCGCTGGACCCCAGGTCTGGGTCAGACACGGAAATGAGCACCACAGGCGTGCCTGATGGCAGGTTCTCGACAATCTTTACACCGCCATCCGGGAGGTACTCGCCTTGCAGCGCGATCACCTCAAATACCGGCGCGTTGTCGTTGTCATCATTCAGCTCCACTGTCACGGTAACCGAGGCGGAACGAGAAAGTTGCCCACCATCACGCGCCACCACAACTAGCCGGTGCACGGGCATCGTCTCACGATCCAGCTTTTCCGCGTTCCTCACCGTGACGAGACCCGTCGTGCCGTCCACGTGCAATGCCGCCTGCGTCGCCAGCGATGTCAGCTTCGTGTGGAAGGAGTAGGCAATGGCACCATTGGGGCCAGCGTCAGGGTCGGCCGCACGTAGCTGCACAACACTTGTGCCGACCTTTGAGTGCTCGGTGATGCGGACGGGTCGCGTCGGTGGGTCAACGAACACTGGCGCATTGTCATTGGCATCGACGACAACAATGGTAAGCAGCACGGAGCCCGAGAGCTTCGGGTTGCCGCCGTCCTCGCCCCACAGCAGCAACTCGTACGAGGGCACTGCTTCACGGTCCAACTGCTCGCGCAGCTCCAGCAGGGCCCGATGGCCCATGCCACCATCCCCATCAACACCAACCCCGCCGCCATCGTCATCATCGTCGCTTTCGACGAGGCTGAAGGGCCCGAGCTGGAGCCCATCTCCGCTGGCCGCCGAGATTCGGTAATGCTGTATGCTGTTGGTGCCAGCGTCGGGGTCAATGGCACGGGGCAGTGGCACGCGGCGCCCCACGGCCTCACTCTCAGAGATGGAGACATTGAGATGCGGCGCACGGAAGGCTGGCGCGTGGTCATTGATGTCGCGCACCAGAAGCTGCACGTCGAGGAGACGGAGGTTACTGGAGCCTTGGCCCTTGGCCATGGCGGCGACCTGCACGGTGTGCATGAAGCCGGTGCTCCTGCACGCGTCGGGTTCCTCCATGCACAGAGCCTCACGGTCAAGGCGCAAGGCCACGGAAAGCTCGCCCGACAACTCGTTCACTATGCACAGGGAGGGGGTGTGGAGAGGGAGAGGAGACACATGGGGTGCAGGGGGGAAGAAACACACGCAGAGGAGACAAAGAGAAAAAAAAGGCACAGGGTTAGGACAAGAGACACAAGGGGATGGGGCACAGGAGGACCAAAGACAATGGAAGGGAAAAAAACACATGGGGATGAGACATGGGAGGGTGCAAGAGACACAGAAAAGAGACACGGGCAAATGAGAAATGGGGACAGGACCCACGGGGGCAGGGAATGTCACTTGCAACAGTGTTGACAAGGGGCTGTGAATTATTTACATTATATTATTAAAATTTTTACAACTCATTCCACTGAGGGAGGCTGCATATTGTCAGGGATTTTACCATGCAAAGAAGTTTTCGCATAGAAACACAAATGAACGTACAAGTCGGGCATAGGCTTTAACAAACATGCATGCTCATCCTGCTGGTACACAAAAACATTTGCATTTAAAAAAAATGCATTTTGTTGTTGCCAATCTTTTTCAAACTCTATATAAATCTGGCAATAGTGTTAAGAGTGGTGGAGTACATTTTGCAGATATTGGTTTCGGGGGTGTTGTAGTCTTCATGAAAATATATTAAATGTCACATTGACAGAGACCATGTATTATTTTCAAGGCACAGATAAAAGTAGGTGTGTAGTGGTTGTGCAGTGTGGTTTATGCCAATCTGAGTTCGATCCCTGGCAATAGATAACATCAGTGGCAAGCGGTATCTGGACCTGTCCCGGAACCCACTCCTTCACCAACCCACATTGACCAGCACATGGTTCAGAAATTTCAGAAAACCCCCACAATCTACCCGGTATGGGGAGGCCTTTCATCTAGCAATGGATCGACATAGGGCTGTAAATGATAAGAATCAGAATATATTTATACTGGAGAAATCCGATGAGCTATAAAGCTCTTTTTTCAAGATGTCCAGTAGGGGCGGCTAAGAACGTTATAACAACAATACAAAAAAATGATTAGAGTGCAAAGTACAAGAAATTTAAACAAATAACCCAAACACATACAAATAAAAATAAACCATCCCCATCCTACCAAGCAAAGCCCACTGAGGTATTAAGTCATTTTTCACAAGCGACCTGGCCACAAATACAAGTTCAATAAAGCGGCCCATCATTTGGACATTTATAGCAGCAAAATAATGTAAATAATCACAACTTAAAATATGATATCTCTTAGCTACCCCGATCTGAATCAGTGTCAGTAAAGAGACATTTTCACTAAGAAAGTGTTAAGCAATTGGTCACAGAACTTAAGCCCGTGTCCAGTGCTTACCTTTAATGAGATGCTTGGCCTCTGTCGAATACATGACCTTGAATTCCAGGTTAGGTCCCATATCAGCTACTTCCTTGCTTTGCCTGAGATCCCCGATGACGTATCCCACCAGAACCTCCTCGTCCACCTCGTACAGCAAGGCCCCCTGCACCAGCGGTGTCGTGGAGACCAGTAGCAGCAGTGGCAGGAAAAGTGATGGCATTGGCAACCCCATCACCGCAGGAGGCATGGCACACCACGACGGCGCTGCCAGAGCCGCCTGGACAGAAAAAAAACAAGTATTGTTAGCGCCTTTACGCGTTTACCAATCTTCTCGGTTAAAATGCCAATTTAAGTGGTTAAGTGTCAAATACAATCAGATTGGTGAAGACAAAAACCTAAATGAAGAGACATAGCGAGGGGAGCATATTTCATTTGAAACCAAAATAAAGTTAGGAAATAGCAGAAATCATCTAAGCAAACAAGGAGCTGATTTAAGACCAACTCTTAACAAGATGCAAACCCCGAAAGGGGCAAAATAATAAAATGGATATCAATTGACACAATTAATTATATAAAATAATGGAGTGTGCAAATAAAATATGGGGAAATGTAAAAATTATAAAAACGCATTGTGTGAAACCACCAGATAGATCAGGGGTCATCAGCCTCCGGCTCCAGAGCCATATGTGGCTCTTTAAGGACCACCATCTTGTATTCACATGCTGTTGTAATATTTAGTGTTTTACAGAATAAAAAAATGGCTCTTGTTATTTCAGGTGCCGATCCCTGAGAAAGATGGATCAGTGGCTGTTATTTATAACCGGCAGTCTTGTAACAATGTCACTCTGCTCTCCTATAGGAACCAATGAATCTCCACAATTCAGGGTGCACGTTTGATTCACGAATAAATTGTTTTTGCTGCTGCGGTGTGTATAGCGCCTCTAGCGGGTGTAAAAGCATTTGACTGTGGAAAATGTAGCAGTTATCCAAGCTCTCACAAACCAAAGTATATATATTTTTAAATAGTAAAACGCAATTACAATAAATAATATTTTAAAATACTTTTTTTTTAAACACGCTTTAATGAAATGTACCGTACTCATAATGGCAGAAATTCACGACTCCAGGAAGTGGCCCCAAAGCTTAGCATAACCTAAGGGGCCGTGGTGATTTACAGCCAACGTCAGTTGAGCGTGCACAATTAGACCCAAGCCGAAACATAACATATAAAAAGCAATGTTTACAAATATATATTTTTTATTTATAATGATAGAATATAGTATTGTCATCAGTATGACATAAGTATACCAAGTTTGCAGTCAATACCATATTGGGAAGTGGGTTAAAATTGAGTTACAAGATTTGAGGATAGGACAACAACAAGAGTGAGTTAATAGAAAGCGTGTAAAAAATATATATTACTTTTCACTGGTATGACGATGTATATGCAAAATATACCAGATGAAAATAACCGAGGGTTAACAATACATTATTTTTGTACATTTGAAGAGATGTTCACACGTTTACCGTTTTGCTTTATCGGGCCAAGGTATGTAAATGATTGTCGTATAAAGTGAAGGATTTAATGAGTATGCAATTAGATTTTGCATAACTGGACACCTAATAATCGGATAAGAGTCAATAGTAGATAATTGATCATTGTTTTAACGCTATGGACACACACGAAATTGATTTTGCCAAGACGAAGGTACTCTGCAAACCCACTGGCTATCAGCAAAGATTCGTTCATGAAGCCATCCAGATATATAAAGACAATTTCAACTGAGAAGATGGGTACAAACTGAGCAATCATTGGAAGGACGTTAATAACCAGTTTAGGTCATAACTGGCTGTGATGTTCCCTTCCTACCTGCCTATGTTAGCAGTTAATTTCGACTCTCTGAGTTACATTCACTAACACAGCCACCGTTGCTCGTTTTCCTCGATGTGGCGGTGGCTCTTGCCGAGCTCTCTCCGATTTCACATTTACATGCAAATCCTTACATTGATATGCTAATCTCTCACAATACAATGGCCTCCCCCACAGCTTCGTCGTCGGCTCAGCTCACCGATCTTACATTTACATGCAAATTTCATCTCTAGCCCCACTCATTTACCATTGGGCTACACCCATCTCAAACCTTTATAACATCCTGCCTTAGCAGCTCTCCCGCCATATATTTTTTCCTGCCTCAGCAGCTTTCCCGCTATATTTGTCACCTGATGACGATTGCTTATGTTGCGATCGAAACATCGTTATATTGTTATTATTTGAATTATTTTTTCTATCTACGTGGCTTTACCGAAAGACCCAAAGAATTTGACATTGACACTTTGTTGCCTGATCGAAACACTGAGACACAAGCGAGTCGCTCGGTAACTGTTATTGACTGAGATAACGTTAGAGCAGACATTTTTCTTTTTAATCACTGCGCGTACCAGGACTGAATTTCCCACGATTGAAACATCTCAAACAGAAGGTAAAACTTTAAATCTGAGATCACTTCTCAGTGTCATCAGATCACCTCATTACACAGCGTTGCTTCACTGATGAGGAAACATTTTTCGAGACTTTAGCTCCACAAAACAATACAGTAATAACCTATGGGATTTGTCTTATCGCTGGTGGGGATTTATGAGATTTCTCAATTTAAAAAAAAACTCTTCTTGAAAAAAAATGCAGACCTGCCAGATTTGAGTAGCTTGACAAATGTTGGTGGGCACAGCACGGAGATGTGGAGATTTTATCTGGCCCTCTGGAATCCTGAGACAGACATACAAGGGATGACAGAATGCGGGTTCGTGTTAGAGGCATGGGGGTGTGTGCGTGTGTGAATGTACCACATGCTATCATCTCTATTATGGCAAGGCATTCGGCTCAGTGGAAATTGTTGCAGTTATCCAAGCTCTCACAAATAAAAGGTATGAATAAAATATATTTTGAAATGGTAAAAAAAAGTTTCAAAAATGTTACAGTTATACCGAGATGTGAAAACAGTACCCCCAATATATGAGAAGAATCAGAATATGTATTTATCCTGGAGAAATCCGATGAGCTATGAAGATATTTTTCACAGATGTCCAATAGAAGGGGAGCCATACTAGGTAACATGCCTTCAAAATTATTCCAGGGACATTAACAAATGTTTTCTCAACAGTGGATTTGAAACACTGGTACTCAAGCGTATAGCCAATCTTGTGGAGATGCAGGCCAGGTTAGAGCCAAATTGGTTTGAGGATGTTGTGTCTTACTAGACAGGTCGCTGGGATGGAAGCACAAGAGTAAAAAAAAATGTACGACATGACAAACAGGGCACACTTACAAAGTAATAGGTACGTGAATAAACATCGCTCTCATACACAAAAACACTCGTATACAATAACTCATACACTCATACAAACACAAATAACCACAATCACAATCACACACGCGCATAAGACAAATATCTCTCGTGAAACCTTACACAAACTGGGGTAAGTCCTGTTAGTAGAACCTATTAAGACATAAAAGGCATTCCCGGCACCATTTCCAGCCGCGTGTCTCCCGAGTAGTCATGTTTTTTTATATATATAAGTCACTGGTTTTGGCCTGAGTTTAAATAGGAAATGCCCAGGCCCAGTTCAGATAAGTCACTGGTGTTGGCCGTGAACGGGAATCGAACTCGGGTAGCCATGTTCGAAGTGCAGCGTGAACCGCTACGCCACCACTCTCCACACACACACGTTAACACACGGTCACAAACACATTAACACACGGTCACAAACACATTAACACACACGTCACACCGAGTTTGGCTCAAAACAAGTGTTCGGGCGTCGCGAGCTCAGACCTGTTGGGACTCGTGAGTGAACACGAGTCTCGAAGTGACACTCACACATCCACACACGAATGCTTTCCAACAAAGACAAAAGATCTCCCGTATTGCCTTTACCAAACGGTTGGGGTAGGTGGCTGTTAGAGAACACCTACCAGTTACACACACACACACGCTTCCACACCAGTTACACACACACACGCTTCCACACCAGTTATATACACACACACACGCTTCCACACCAGTTACATACACACACACACGCTTCCACACCAGTTACATACACACACACGCTTCCACACCAGTTACATACACACACACACGCTTCCACACCAGTTACATACACACACACACACACGCTTCCACACCAGTTACATACACACACACACACACGCTTCCACACCAGTTACATACACACACACGCTTCCACACCAGTTACACACACACACACGCTTCCACACCAGTTACACACACACACATGCTTCCACACCAGTTACACACACACACGCTTCCACACCAGTTACACACACACACACGCTTCCACACCAGTTACACACACACACACACGCTTTCACACCAGTTACACACACACACACACGCTTCCACACCAGTTACACACACACACACGCTTCCACACCAGTTACATACACACACACATGCTTCCACACCAGTTACACACACACACACATGCTTCCACACCAGTTACACACACACACACACACGCTTCCACACCAGTTACACACACACACACATGCTTCCACACCAGTTACACACACACACACATGCTTCCACACCAGTTACATACACACACACATGCTTCCACACCAGTTACACACGCATGCACTCACACATGCATGCACCTTCATGCATACCCATGCTTATACACCAGCAACATACACTTACACATGTGATGATACATACGATCAGGCTTACATATTCGCTCAAACACTACCTGAGAATCAGAATATGTATTTATAATGGAAGAATCCGATGAGCTATGAAGCTCTTTTTCACAGATGTCCAGTCGGGGCGGATAAGAACATTACAGCAAACAATACAAAAACATGATCAGAGTGCAAAGTACAAGAAATGTAAACATTCACCCAAACATACAAATAAAACTAAACCATCCCCATCCTACCAAGTTAATAATTCAGCCCACTGAAGTATTAACTTATTTTCTTAAAGCGGCCTGGCCACAAATGATAGCTCAACAAAATAGCGTATCAATTTGACATTGATAGCAGACAAAAACATCTAAATAGTCAAAACGCATGTTTCTAAGTGGAGGGAAAAAACGGACGACCCAAAAAAAATCCAAGCGACCACAGGCAGCATATGCAAACTCCAAATATACAGCAGGCGTCAGGGTCGGGATCGAACCCGCGAACCTCCTGCATACCAAACACACACACAGATGCGAACAAACGGATGCCAACACACTAGTCACCCCTTCGCTTACATTTAAACCCACTCACACCCGCACACATCCTCACCAGCTACACACATGCACCATAATTACACCAGTTCATACACACCCTCAAAACCGATCTCACTTCACACCCACTCATATACATGCGCCCATGTTCACGGACAGTCACACCGGCTCACACGGGTTCACGCGTATGCAAAAAAGACAAAGAACCCTATTATAGCCATTAACACGGTTGGGGCAAGTGCTGTTAGCGAGCACCTATGAAGACTGACAGCAAACGAAGGGGTGGGTGGCCAGCACCACGCCCGACCGCCTTCGTCTCCCCAGTGGCTATGTTTACACAGCGCACCAGGTACTCATTTAAAGTAGAGTCGACCTAGGGGAGTCCCAGGACCGGTTCAGATAATTGTCACTGGTGTTGGTGGTCGTGAGTGGGAATCGAAACCCGGGTTGCCGGGGTTGGTAGCGCAGTGTGCTAACCGCTACACTACCGCTCCCCACATTACGCACACATGTACTCACACGCACCCACAACAAGTCTCTTCTTACACACTACACAAGCACAACTATGTACTCCTTTTCGCGCACACGCAGTCACCCAATAACGGGATTGGATGCTTGGGATGTGGCAGGGTGTTGAATAGTGATGTTCGCAAACATTTTAATGGTGTGAAACGCAAACAATTATAGTGTACAAGCACGGGTGTAAATACACACGCTGTCGTGAACACAAACGGCAGCTTTGATTATCACGGTCGGCTACGTACGGTGGGAAAGAAGTTCAACACTGATGCCCACACACATTAACGTCCAGCCACACACTCGGGCAAAACGGTGCACATTCACAAACACTAATATTGTATGCACATTTACATTGTACACACATACCCTATAAGGCTAACACACCTACACCTTATATATTCATACGTACACACACCCTTACAAGTAAACACGCACACACCATGTACACATACACACACCCAATACACGCATCCTTTACACCATGAATATAAAACACTCACGTCCGGCACACTCAACACCCAACCTGTACACACACATCTATATAACGTAAATAGAAAGCATCCCCTACAGCCTGTACATACACACACCCTGCAGCACATCCACCCTCTCCATATCGTGTACACAACAACCCCCGATACATACACCCTGTAAAATAAAAACACATCACTCCATCTGTAAATACAAATACCCGACATATACACTCGTGCGCCATGTACTTACGCACACACCCTGCAAACTCTGTACATGGACCACTCTGTAGATAAACAAACCCCTAGACCCTGTATATAAACACACACCCTGCAAGCACCTCTACACCCTGTAAATGAAATATAGCCCTCGACCCTGTACAGAACATACACACACAGACCCTGTACACAGGGCTAAAGGTGCACATACTGTCCATACAAATACATGCAAACACCGAAAACGTGCTTAGAGAAACACACACATACCCTATTACTACTGTACACACCGCTGCATTCCCTGGACCTGTCTTAGCTGTTACTTGGACTCTCACCTGTATGCGCACTTACCTGGCAGAGAGAGTGGATGCGAGACGCAAAATGTGAAGGCGATATGTAGAGTGTGCAATGGAGAGAGTTCGAGTGTGTGAGAGCTGGTCAGAGATGGTGAGAGAGAGAGGGCCAGAGATGGTGAGAGATGTCTCTTGAGCGACTGATCTATTATCTAAGCGTCATGAGTCAGGGCACCTCCGATTAGCACGGTCGGCTACGTACGGTGCGAAAGAAGTTCACGAGATGAACATGAAAGGAGACGGACACACAGAGACACGCAGAAAGGTACACAACAGTAAAATAGCAGAGAGAGATACACGATTGTGCAAAGATAAAACAAACGTTCACGGTATTAAATTGAGGCGAGACAGATGAGGTGAGACACGCAGAGTATATATAGCAGACACTACAGCATGTGAATAAGACGCATACACGTATACATACGGACATACACTACAGTAGATGTCGGAGACACCTTGATAAACTTAAGTATAGGGGAAAGACGCACACATACATGTACAGTGTCGGTAATTGAGACAAAACTGACAGAAGCAGGCAGCGAAACAGATTTAAAAAAAAAAACTCCCATACACTGTGGTACACGTGAATGGGAGGCACTGCATACCAGTTTATCCTGTCGAGTCCGGTACAGGTTATCGGGGCAGAAACTGTCAAGACAGGTGGAGTCCGAGACGGCAACCAAGACAAACTCCGGAAGGACGCGAGAAGAGGTGGCGAATAGAAGAGAGCGGAGCGTGGAGATTAGCGGCAGAGTCAGGATCCTCATTATTAGGGACGTGTGAGAGGCGTGCTCACGTGGACCGTGTGTAATTACGTGGGCATGCGTGCGCTTTTGTAATTACTGCGTATGCGTGATGACTCGTGTGTGTGTGCGCGTGAGAGAGAGGAGTCACAGTTGTCGTGTATACAATGTTACGTGTGTGTGTGAATAAAGGTGTGTGTGTGTGGGGAGCGGTAGTGTAGCGGTTAGCGCGCTGCGCTATGAACCTGGCGACTCGGCTTCGATTCCCGCTCACGGCAAACATCAGTGACGATTTATCTGAACCGGTCCCGGGCCTCCCCTAGGTCGACTCGGCCTCAAATGAGTACCTGGTGCGGTGTGTAAACATCGCCACTGGGGAGACAAAGGCGATTGGGCGTGGTGCTGGCCACCTCACCCCCTCGTGTACCGTTCCGGCCTTCATAGGTGCTCGCTAACAGCACTTGCCCCTACAGTCTGTTGAGGCTATATGGGGAATCTTTGTCTTTGTTTGCATGTGTGGGGAGCGGTGGTGTAGCGGTTAGCGCGCTGCGTGTCCCCAGTTCGGTTCCTGCTCACGGCCAACGCCAGTGACGATTATCTGGGCCTCCCCCAGGTCGACTCAACCTCAAATGAGTACCTGGTGCGATGTGTGAACATCGCCACTGGGGATACAAAGGCGGTCCGGCGTGGTGCTGGTCACCCACCCCCTCGTGTGCCGTGCCGGCCTTCAAAGGTGCTCGCTAACAGCACTTCTGAACGGGGGATCTTTTAATTTGCGGTAGTTTACACCTACACACCCGTGTGCGTGTGTGTACATAAGCCTGTGTACAGGTTTCCATGTCTTTGTAGTAGTGTGTGTGTGCAGGTGAGCATATTTGTATAGATGTTTGTGAATTAAGTATATTGATGTATGTTTGTGCAGAGGTGAGCGCGTGAAGTGCGTCTACAATTATATCAGCGTAAGACAACTCGCTTATCGACTCAAAAACACAAGAAATTCCCCGTTTAGCACCTACGAAGTCATTTCGCACAGCCACGTGCGTTATATTACGCACGATTACTCACAAAGGTACACTACGCGTTACAGTACACACTGAATCACCCACCCATACTGTGCACTGCACATGTCCGAACGCAATGCAAGTGTGCGTACTGAACTGCGTTTGTAAGCACACGTGTGTGTGCACACCCTAAACTGTAGTGGTATATACAGTACTCTAGATGTATATGCACTTATGTATGAACTGCACTACACGTGTCTACACAGTGACAGTATGATGTACTGCAGTACACACACGTGTATGCATGTACAACAGCATGTGTGTACTGTATCATTATACACGTGTGTGTACGAACATAATGTTGACTATCATCAGACCCGGCAATGTTCCCATCAATACCAGTCAAAACATCGACCTCAAAAGATGCTCCGAGTGTTGTTAAATGTTTGTTTTCCGGTCTGTACAAATGTTTCTGTTGCGATGTCGTCTCGTCATTGTAATACGTGACAAACAACTACAACTCTGCGTGTACATCCACTTGTGACCAGGAGCGGACAATTATCTGGTCTATCCATTAAGCTAATTGGCATGAGACTAAATACAATAAACAAGACTGTATAACTTTAGACTGATCCTGAACAAAGAGTGAAACCCAATCAAAATCTGCGCAGTAATATGTGTAGGCCCAAATTCGAATACTGTACAGGTATTTGGGCTGTTCAAACTTTTACAGCTACGGGTAGTAGAGGAGACTGGGCTATATGTGGCAAAAGGTCAGCGTTCTAACCTTTTTATAACATCATTACATATTTGATTGGTGTAAAATATACAGTACTGCATACATCAAGTTACATATGATAACTAGTGCAGGGCCTGGAAATTAAATAGGGTTACCAGCCCCAAAGTCAGCCGAGGTATATCAAAACTGTGCAGTGTACCGCAATAAAGTTTCAACACATTAACCATGAGATCTCGGTACAGTACTAAACACCTGGACAGGTGGCAATCCTATAATTACCATAGATCTATGTCAGGCAGCTGAGATAACGCACCTGGGTCTCAAACCCCGATTTAGCCACATAGGAGCAGCTAAGGGACAGAGGGGGGTGGTGAATAACCATCATGGCACGGCTGCCCAGAAAAGGGAAAAGTGACGATTAGCTCCAGGCATCGCACAAAAGAGGGAGCCTCCACATGGGGCCTGTTTTCCTTTCTCTCCTATCTCTCTCTCGCTGTCGCTAATGAATAATGGGGGCCCTACGTGGAAATCTGCCCGGGCCCCCCGAAACCTATGGGGCGCCCTGCCACCGCCACATCTTCCTCTACTTTGCTCGCCCATCACCCCCCTACATCGGGCAGGAGGAAACAGCGCGCATGTGCGTTTATGGGCGATAACGGGCTTCGTTTTGCGGTGAGGTTTTACAGAGCTTGTTGCTATGGTGGTGGTAGTGGTGGAGGTGTGGTGATTGTGATCGCGGTTAATACACGAGGTTGTTGCGGTCTTTAGTGGTTGTAAAGGCGATGGAAGCGGGGATCGCGATGGTGGCAGATGTGGGTTTGATGGTGGAGGTGGTAGAGGGAAGTTGTGGAAATGGTTGAAGACCTGTGATGGTGGAGGTATGTGAAGGTGGTTGCGAGAGCGAATGGTTTCGTGGTGGAAGCGGTGGAGGTGACGGTGGTAGTGGTGCTCATCGTGACGGTGATTGTGAATGGCAGCAATGGAAGTGGTGATGGCAAAGTTTGTGGCAGCGATGTTGAATGTTCAAAAACTCAACCCATTCGCCCAGTCTCCGAACAACAGCACAGGCCAGATGGTATTTCCAAACGTGAAGGCACAGTCCTCAATGATTGAGAATCTATGCGAATAAGAGCACGTTTATACGAAAAGGGCAAGACCCCAACCCTCCACTCAGGCAGGCCAAAGCAAGTCAACTGGCCCCGTTGACCACCACACAATCCACCCATCCTCTCTCTCACCTCCGCCACCGAGCGGCGTGTCCATTGCTTTATTGAGACAGGCGATCGGATGTGTTTAGTTAAGAACCAGGTGAGCTGCAGGTGATAACCAAGATTAAGCTCTTACCCCCCCCCCACCCCACCCTCGGCGCCACCCTAAACGTTCTCCTAATCCTAACCACATCTGGACAGGTAGCCCCCCCTAACGAACCCCTCCATTATCCACCTCTAAACCCACCCTCGTCAGTCAACACACCTGGACAGGCGACCCACCAACCCCCACCCCAACTCACCTTGGCGGTCACTGAGGCCCATGCGGGTCCACGCTAATGCTGTGATGCAGGAGTTAATGCAGGAGTTGTTGGTGGTGTTGGTAATTGTTAACGATCGCGATGATGGTGTTGATGGCGGGGCCGATCTAAAGCGACTTCGTCTTCTCCGCTTTACCTGCCGACGCCCAGGTGACGTCACCTCGTCGATTGAATAACGGACGTGACGTCACTTCCGTGGGGGCTGGGGTGAAGGAAGTGGGAGGGGTCACGCACCTGTGTGGGGGGGGGGGCTCACAGAGCCGACCGCACTGAGGCTCCCACAGAGCTCCTCGATGATTCACAGACTTCAGAGTTCGTGACTGCGACTCAGAGCCACACTGAGGCCCCCCCCCTCGATGATTCACAGGCTTCAGAGTTCGTGACTGCGACTCAGAGCCACACTGAGCCCCCCCCCCTCGATGATTCACAGGCTTCAGAGTTCGTGACTGCGACTCAGAGCCACACTGAGCCCCCCCCCCTCGATGATTCACAGACTTCAGAGTTCGTGACTGCGACTCAGAGCCACACTGAGCCCCCCCCCTCGATGATTCACAGACTTCAGAGTTCGTGACTGCGACTCAGAGCCACACTGAGCCCCCCCCCTCGATGATTCACAGACTTCAGAGTTCGTGACTGAGACTCAGAGTCACACTGAGCCCCCCCCCTCGATGATTCACAGACTTCAGAGTTCGTGACTGCGACTCAGAGTCACACTGAGCCCCCCCCCCCCTCGATGACTCACAGGCTTCAGAGTTCGTGACTGCGACTCAGAGTCACACTGAGCCCCCCCCCCCCCCCCCCCCGATGATTCACAGGCTTCAGAGTTCGTGACTGCGACTCAGAGTCACACTGAGGCCCCCCCCTTGATGATTCAGAGGCTTCAGAGTTCGTGACTGCGACTCAGAGTCACACTGAGGCCCCCCCCCCCCTTGATGATTCACAGGCTTCAGAGTTCGTGACTGAGACTCAAAGTCACACTAAGGCTCTCCCATCTCGATGATTCACATGCTTCAGTATTTATGACTGAGGCTCATTGAGCCGGACTAAGGCTTTTTTTTAGTATACTCCAGTGTTCATATTTGAGGCTCAAAGAGACTAAGTGATGCTTCTATAGGGTTCTTAAGCTTTAGTGTTAATATCAGAGGCTCTCTGAGATAGACTTAGATTTTTGGGGGTTTTAAGCTGCAGTGATAACGTATTATCTCAAATGCGGCTGACAGTCCACTTGCCCTCACCTGTACTGCCCTCTGCTGACCACAACATTGGCCCGCAGTCGCCTGTATCACCTTCCATTGCATGCTGGACCTCCAACCAAGCAATACCCTGCTGCTTCGCTACCAAGATCAGACGAGATCAGGCGCATTCCACGTGACCCAGTCATCGGCAAATTTAATATCCCTGTATCGCCCCATAAATCCACAATGCATTTCAGCATATCCATCCATATGTTGGCCTTGAACCCTTTCTGATATCACTCGCCACTGATGTCAGCGGTATACCCACAGGCCGAGTTTATATTTGGAGGGGCAAGGGGTTCGCTTCGTTCCTTACATTAGGAATCGCGAGTGCATATATTTATTTTATCTTAATGGTAAACTACTGAAAATAAATGTATAAATGTGCCCAGCACCAAAGTTAAAAGTACTGGAGAACAATAATACGTACACTGTCATCCATGTATAGATACCCTACTCATTTATAATGAATCTATCTTCTCAATAAATTATTGAACACGATGAAAACGATAGATCCATATGTTAAGGACAGTATTGCACCTTTTCATAGCGTATTGAACTCGATGGGAGACATGCAGAAGCGTTTAAATAAATGTAGGGTTCGCTATAATTCGCATTATTTCAGTGGGGTGTCTAAAGATTGCTCAATCTTTATAAAATAGAAATACTCCCGTACTTGTT